TCGCAGTCCAGTGCTGGTCCTACAATACCACACTGGAAGTAAAATGTGTATGTGTGTGGTGTTAAATGCCATCGAGTAGGTTCCAACCCATAGCGACCCTGCGTAGGGTCTCCAAGGAGCGGCTGGTGAGCTTGAACCACCGACCTTGTAGTTCAAACTGATTCTACAGTCTAGTGCATTAACTCACAGTGCCACACACCAGGCATATAACAATGAAACTAATCTGAAATGGTAGAAGTCCATTTATTTATACATGATTTAAAATAACACAAAACTCTTAAATGTCACTATTAAGGGAGTTAAATTTTGTTTTAAATTATTGATCAAAAGAAAGTCAGCACATTTATTCTCATTTAGTCCTGATGTGGTGCTGTAGGATAAAGCACTGGGCTACAAGGTCTGTTTGAACTGCAAGGTCAACGGTTCAAACTCACCAGCAGCTCTTCAGAAACCCTATATAGGGTTGCTGAGTCAGAGCCAACTCACAGCACTTAACAGCAATTATCATGAAAAGTTTTACTATAGTACCTTGAAGAAAACCTGAGAAAAAATTATCCCTATGGTTTAAAGAATTCTTTTGGATACTGAGCTTCCTCATGTTAAAACTTCTGAAAATTCAAAATTCCAAGATTTCTACACCTCAAAGCAGATTTGGGCAATTTTTATATTTCAAAAGTTTGGTATAGGATATACAGAGCCACACCCCCAAAGGAATTCTACATGGTTGATAAATTTATAATTTTTTTTTTTTAAAGATTGAAAAATAATTTCAAATTTTATGTTGTTAAGTGCCATTGATTCAGTTCCGACTCATAGTGACCCAGGATAGGGTTTCTGAGGAGTGGCTGGTAGGTTTAAACCACCAACCTTGTTGTTAGCAGTCTAGTGCTTGTCCTACTGTGCCACACCAGGACTCTTAAGTTTTATTTGTTGTTGCTGTTGTTGTTAAGTGTCGTCGAGGTGGTTCCATCCCATAGTGACCCTATATAGGGCATCTGAGGAGCAGCTGGTGAGTTTGAACCACTGACCTTGTGGTTCAAACCAACCTTGTGGTCTAGGGCTTATAGTTAACATTAAAATGTAATGTTAAATTTTGCACTAGTTATTGAAAATGCCACAGTTTTCATATCAGGAGACAGAGAGAAATGAGGCAAGAAATTAAGAGTAAACAAACAAAAACTTAAATGAAAAAAAAAAATCTTAAAATAACAGTGGATCCTACCTTTCTTGTAAGGCAAACAAAATCCACATTTTACATACATGAAGTATTTTAGACCTCTAAAGTGTGGTCTCTGGGTGACGCAAGTGGTTTGCACTCAACCCCATAGGAAAAGCACTGGACTTTGAAACGCAAGGTCTGTGGTTCAAGCCTACCAGCTGTTCCACGAGAGAAAGATGAGGCTTTCTGCTCCTACTGAGATTTAAAAAGCCTCGGAAATCCTATATAGGGTCACAGAGTTGGAACTGACTTGCCGACATTTAACAACAACAATGAAATGAAAGATTGGTAGTTTGAACTCACCCAGCAGCACCAAGGAATAGAGGACTGTGATCTCCTTCCATGAAGATTACAGACAAGGAAAACACAATGAAGCAGTTCTACTCAACACATGGGGGCGCCGTTAGTCACAATCCACTCAACATCAATGGAGTTTAAAGGTTTTTAAAATGACAGTTGCAACTTGTAATTTTTGAGTTTTTGCACTTGCCAGTTCTTAGTTTCGAATCCACTTATAAAGCTATAGTGGTGGTGGTATGCTGTCGAGTCAGTTCCGACCCATAGTGACTCTATATAGGGTTTCTGAGGCTATAAATCTTTACAGGAGCAGAAAGCCTCATCTTGCTCCCATGGAGCGGCTGGTGGATTCGAACTGCTGACCTTGCAGTTAATAGTCCAACATGTACCCCACTCTGCTACCAGGGTTCCTTTAAAGCTATAGCAGATGTCTATTTTAATTCCTTGTACTTATAAAACAAGGTGCCAGAGCCTGGTCTGAAACACAACTCGATCCATATTTTCCAACAGTAGTTTGGTGATATGATATCAAAATCACCAGTCAAAACTCTTAAAAGAATGCCCTTTATGACAACAATAACAGCTAGTAAGTACTACTCTGTATCACACGTTGTGTATACGTATTTCTTTCATTCTCACAACAATCTTCCCACACAGTTTTAGAAATCTTTTTAAAGATAGAACAGCTGAGATCTGAAGAGATAAAGAAATATACACAAGGTTACAGAGTGAGATTCAAACCTAGTGCATTCTCAATTTCCAAATGTCCTTTCTTGCACACCAGCTGATCATCAAGAATAATCAACCATATGAGACCAAAAGGGCAGCATTGCCCCTAAAACAAAGCTCAGAAGGACAAACGGAGATGGGGAGCCCAGTTTGTTGAGGAAGAATGCTGTAACATTGAGGGAATTGTAACAAATGTTATGAAACAAAATGTGTATCAATTATTTAATTGAAAATAATTGTTCTGTGAACTTTCACCCAAACCGCAGTTAAAACACACACAAAATATGCTGAAATCGCCATCAGATCAGGGTGTAGGATGAATACTAAATCCACTCATTTCAGTCAATCATTCGTTCAATAAATATATATTGAATGCCATCTATGGATCATACATAGAAGGATACTTTCAATTTACCACGTAATGGTCAGGAGCTGGACTAGTAAAATTCAAGAAGAGCTGGAGAGACGCTGGGTGAGCGTCACTACATCCATTGACTAGAGAGTAAGATGATAGCTCTAAAGCAACAAAAAGAGGGCCTAGTGTGGCACCGTAGGCAATGGACGCAAGGTTGGTATGAACCATGATATCTGGTTAACCTGGAAGTTCAGGTTTACTCCTACAAGCAAACTATACCTATTTCTCCTCAAGAATTTAAAGATTAAAATTTTCTTTCTCAAACTTTCCAATCATAACTACTTTGGCCTGGATTTTCTATAGTAGTAAATGTAAAATATTATAATTACTGTAAGAAAAACCAGAGGCTTTGAAACGAGAAATAACCTAGGTTAGTATTCCAGCTCTGTTACTTGCCAGTTATTTAAATATCCTGAGTTTGGGTTTTTTACCTGTGAAAGAAAAGAATCCCTGTCTCAGGCTGTTGTAAGAATTAAATAGTATATACTAAGGAACCTAGACTCTTCAGTTCTTTATAGACTTTCATTTTTCTTAGAGGGCAAGAGAATTAGTAATCATTCACAAGGCAATGGTTGTTGTTATTTGTTAACTTTTCATTGTGAACTGAGTGACGGTTTACAAAACAAATCAGTCTTCCATTCAACAGCTCATACATGTCATGCCATTGTTCCATGCCATGTCATTGATTGCACTCCCCCCATGTAATAGCACTCGTTCCACTTCCTCCCTGTGTTTCCCATTTCCACCCCTTCCTCATCTTTCCTAACCTTTCTTGTCACAAGCCAATCTTAAAGTATATATAATATTATAAACCCCAAATCAAAGAAATTTTCCCCGAAATAAAACAGTATGATGTGTTTATTTGTTACTAACAAATTACTTCCTTTTGTATCTATGTGAGGCCAATAAAATATTTCTTGTCAGGAATAACTACTGTTGGTGTTTTATGAAGGACTCTCTCATGACCAAAAAACAAAAGTTTTCTTGTCAAATTTCCTAAACAGCTCAGGGTGTTTTAACACCCAGAGTTTTCCTCTCACCCAACAACATATTCATTTAGTATCTTATAAGAATGTGTGTGTGTTGAAGCACTTTCTGGCAGGTTAGAGGAACCTTTGCCTTTCTGTGAGCAGAAAGAATCGGACTCACAATCCCTCCAATTTTCCAGAAGAGCTAGGGATGAGGACTCCATCAGCTAAAACAGCTGTTGATGCAGGAATCCATGAGAGAGCGCAGAGTGATCAGATACAGCCTGACCCTCCTAGAAAATCTTCCTGAATGAGATTCAGAAATCAGTAGTTTGTTGAGGAGCCATATTGTTTATTCTGTGTAGATCTAAGTAAGTTTCTGAAAAAGGCAGAAGTGCAGATGTAGAGATTATTTTCCCATCAGATGCTCATGTAATGTGATGTTGCTTTTTACAATTCAATTCAAAGTGGTTCTGTCCAATATCATTCATTTGTGAAACAGGAAACGGTAGTCTGAACAGAACATGATTGCTCAAGGCTATCAAGTTATTATCAGAGCTGAGAACTCAAGGCCTCACACTTTAGAATATAAAATAATTTATTTATTAAGACAATTTAACAAGAATATACTCAGAGAAAAATTCACTAAGATCCCAATTAATGGATTTGAGGATACCAAAATTCCTGCCCATTATATAAAATAACATAGTATTTGCATATAATCTCCACACTTTAAATCCTTTATACTTTAAATCATCTCCAGATTACTCATAATGTTGAATACAATGCAGAGATACACTGTAAATAGCATTTTGCACTCTCTTTTAGCCTTTGTTTGCTTTGAATTGCTTTGACACCTTGTTTTTTTTGCCCCCAGAATATTTTGATCTGCAGTTGATTGAATCTGAGGATGCAGACCCCATGGATATGAAAGTCAACTGTATACATATTTTGTTTATTCTCATTTAACCTAAAGATAGCTTCTGTGTGTTTACTGAGAACTGTGGTAATAGATAAAAATGGGGTAATTGTATCAGCACAAGATTTTTAAAAGTGCTTGACTGATTTATCTACCTTCCTTGTTAGAATACTTGACAAATTGATCACTGTTTTCTCAGATTTTATAGTTTGCAATGATAAATATTAAAGAAGTTATTTAATAATATGCATATATAATCATGAAAAAAAATCAAGATGTTTGTATGGGCAATTAAGAAAATATCCATACAAAGAAAATATTTACACAGAAAACTGATGCTGACATATACTTAATTTTGACATTAAAACCATAAAGGAGTGGAAATATGATTTTTAAAGAAAAAAAAAACTATACTATTTATGCAAAGAGTTAAGTTGTATAAATATTACCTACCTGCTTTTTTGAGATATTTGTTCCAGTTTCTTGGCTAATGTACAGCATTCTTCTTTTAACTTTGTCAAAAATGTATTCTGAGAGGTCAGCAATGAATACTGTTCATTTTCTAGAAATAACAATAAACCCCCACCAATATAAGTTATTTATGGTTATAGTTGTACAGTGCTTCAATTTTAGACTGGTAAAAGCATGAAGACCATTATACATTTCCTATAAGTCACTAACTTACTTAAATGTCCTAAGTCCAAGAATTTCCCCTCGGGCAAGACACTACATCTTGTGAGACATATAGTTTTCTGATAAACACACACCAGAAACATTTTTGATCATACCAGGTTGGTGTAACTTTTTAACAAACTGTCAAATACCTCAAGTGGAGTCATAGATACTTACATCTTTATAATATGTAAGCTACTATAAACATAATTTCATAAAATTACTATAAACAATTTTTTAAATGAATGCTGTTGTTAAGTGCCATGGAGTCGGTCGGTACCGACTCATAGCGACCCTATGTACAACAGAACGAAACCAGATAATTTAAAATCACTGAGGAACTCTCTTCTACTTTGTAATCCATGCTTTGTGTTTCATATGTGCTCACATATTTCACTCTCTCCATCTTGCAATATACTTCTGTAATTATGAAGGTGAGATGAGTAATTTTCCTTAGGCTGAATTCATTGTCAGCAGCATGAGCTGCAATGAAGATTTGGTCAAAAAAACTGGAGAGTGATGTTTTTCGTGTTCTTAGGTGGTTTTAATTGTTAAGTACTCTTATCTACAGCACTCAGAGACTTTGTCTAAGACTCTTTGATCATTGGGATCCTGTCAGCAGTGAGGACAAACAATAGTGTATTCTATAATCTCCTCCTTTCCTTTTTAGTGGAGAAACACTAAGTCTGGTAAATTTTCATTTCTTCCAGCCAAAGGCTGTTAGAAGAAAATCTCCACTGAAAATTCTGGAGGGAATTCTATGAGTCGATACAGCATGTTTAGCTCTTTATAAGGGAACAGATTATTTAATAAATTTTACATTAGCGATTTTTCACTTATGGTATAAGAGATCACTTTTTTACTGTCATCAGATATGGTACACATTAAACCATGTGACTATGTCCTTTAAGTGTCAGGTTAAAGAAAGCCCTTTCTTTTCAATATTAGTTAATGATTGACAAAAAGCATATAGCATACAAAGCAAAATAAATCAAGGCACTAAAATTAAGCAACATTTTTCTGGAAGAGACAGGACCAATTAAACTTTTGTTTTAATAGTACAATCGGCTTGGAGTATGTGGTGTGGAATTATAATGACTGACACTGTATTGTTTTGACTAACACTGTCTGTGAACACACAACTCAAAAGTGAAAGGAGCTACAAAATGCTCCGACTGAACAAATCAAGCTGCCTATTTTCAAAGTGCATTTTACTTTCAAATTAAAGGTAAAGAGTTACTGGCCAACTCCGTCTGCAGAATCGCGCCAATGTGATGAAAGATGGCAATTTTTAGCCAAGCTGCCAGCTGTGGTCAATGCCTTGTATTAGTGAATTTTAACAGCAGTTGTGAGAACTTGAAGAATGCAAAGGATTAAACATCATTCTAGATTGGGGTGGGGGAGGTGGGGAAATCATACAAATGCTAAAAATGTTCGAAGCTGCAAAGATTAAATAAAGGAACATATCAATTTAGAGCCACTGAATTACATCCAGCTGCGACAGTGAATTAAGAACCGATTAATGGCTAAAGCTTTTCTCCAGTTTGGATGCTGAAGCAAACTCATTAGGCTTTTAGAGTAGCTATAATGTGTGTACTGTGGGAACTGTTCAATGCTATTCAGGAGACTCTAACTGTAAGCTCAGAGCATTTCCCGCAGAGCTTCTGATGCTATTTTCTTTATATAACATGTGTGCCTGAAAACGCAGCCAAAAATAAGCCCTTTGTTTTTCTACTTTGTTGTGGTCTCTCTCAGCTTTACGTTTCTTGAACACAGGTAAATAAACTCATAATCCAGATGGTGCAACAGATGTGAGAGCAGCACTCTGAAATCAACAGACAGTGGGCAATACTTTCCATTTTCTCTTTTAAACGCTAACTAATATGTAATTCGGAATCTCCGGTGTAGTTAGCATCTGCTCCCTTCGGCCAGCCAAAGGTTACAGGTGTTCCTGATGTCATTTCACAGTAAGGCGTGGGCCTGGCTTGTGAGCGAGTGCCCAGGCTCTAATCTTTCCCTACCACCTACCAGTTTTGTCATGCTGGGCCTCCATTTGCTGTATCTTCTGTGTCAGCTCCTGCTCTCTTTGCTGGGCCTGAAGGGCTTGGGCCTTTGCTTCGTTGCTAAAGCTCTGCTGAATGCTATCTTTTTCCAGCCTACAAAACAGAAAGGAGATGTACAGAACTGTATCCTGCAGGTACGCAACCCTCATCGTATCCCCTACAGGCCATAGAGAGCTGAGATGTAGTAAAAGGTTAAGAATAAGAAGGCAACCATCTTTTCATAGGCCTGTTTCAGAGCGGAAATTCAAATAACATTTTCATACCATGTTAAATACAAAATTCCAAAGGACAACAGGACACAACTTTGAAAATTTAAAAAACCAAAATAATGGTCATTTATAACATTAAAAAACAAGTAACCATTTTTTTTGGCTAACTTGGGAAAGGCAAAGGAGTTCTGGTAGTATAGTGGTTATGAATTGGGCTGCGAACCACAAGGTCATCAGTTCAAAACTACCAGCTGTTTCACGGGAGAAAGATGAGGCTTTCTGCTCCCGTAAAGATTTACAGCCTCAGAAACGCCATGCAGGGTCACTATGAGTTGGAACCGACTCCACAACACATAACAACAACAACAACACCTTTCTTCGGTAGCCATTTACATATCTATTTTGCAATCTACTATCTACTGAATGGTCAATATTTCCAAAAGAGTTTAAAGCATAACTCAATACACCAAACCTAAGATTTGAAGACATTCCAAATTAAAATGAAATTTCATCAATATAATGTAGGAGACTAGCTATAGAAGCATGTCAATGACTCTGCAGTGCAAAATGCATGTTTTCATTAAATCTATTCAGACATTAGACCATAAAACATGAAAAGTAAAATAAGTATAAAAATTAATAACTTCCCCTGTACTTCATAATAAAATTCCTTTTAGGTCACAGCAAAACAAATTGCTGGATTTAAAAAGCTTCCATAGTCAGAGACAACATCCATGCCACTGTAATATAATACAGACCCCATCCCATTGGATCAATAGCCAATCACAGTGACTCCTAAAGAAAGAAACTTCCTAAGAACCTGAGGGATCCAAAGGGCTCATCACTAGCAGCACTGTGGTTCTGATACTGTGTTTTATGAAAACATGCATTTTGCACTGAGGGATCCAAAGGGCTCATCACATAGCAGCACTGTGCACATATACTTTTGTTTGGCTCTGTATACTCTAAAGATGGTTAAGTGATATGAGAACTTTCTTCAATTACCTGACTCAGTTATTTCTAACTCCTGATCTCCTTGTGGGCATTTCTCATTCATGCTGCTTTAGTTTACTAATTGAGATATTTACTGCTTAGTCTTTGCCAAATGAAAAATAAACAATTCCATAAAGCTATCACTACTAGTATATGTACCGCTGAGGAACTTCAATTCACTGGCTTCTAATTATAAAGCAACATAAGGAAAGTCAGTATTGAAATTGGTCAATGCATGTAGTGATGTTGTAGTATAAAATTACAGAATGAAAATACACCCACACCTTGCTCAAATGAAATCATCAGGGGGCCTTACTAAATGTGAAATAAGGTCCCTCTGTTACTGCTAAGAACAACACCTCCTTGGATGTGGTCCAAGGTCTTGCCTCAAACTCAGTTCCAAACTAATATATTGCACATAATCCTATTAGGCCACTTTTTGCCTCTGCAGTCACACCATGTTTTGTCTGGCCACAGGTCTGTTGGACATGCTGTTGCTTCTTCCTTTTGCCTCTCGGCACGGTATATACTATTCCCATAAAGCCGACCTCAAAATTCACCGTCTCTCATTTCTCTCCTTCCTAAATGAACTAATCTTACCTCAGTGACCTCAATAAATACTGTGAACATGCTACTCAAATAATATCACTCACCTTTTTGTTACTGGATTGTATATATATCAGTAGGCTTTTGTCATCTTTGTCTTTCTATACCCTGAACCTAGCTCAGAATTTGTCATATAGGAAGAGGACAGTAAATATCTGATGAAGATATGGCCTTATACCTTTGCCATGGGGGGCTGCTGGCAGAGAAAGGCAGAATGAAGTCTTGAAGTGAAGGTGGGGAATCTGCTCAAGTGTTTTACACAAACACAAAAACCATTGCAGACACTTTAGAAAAGAAGGATACTTAGAAGAAAGTAGCTTTAATGGTTTTTACTAGCTGGAGACCAGGCTGCCAAAGGAGTATGATTAAAGAAGAAACCGATAGAATCTTTAACTGAGAAACCATCTCCAAATTAAACCCCTAGCTAGAGCAGGAAATCTAGGACGGAAGACCTGGAGCTCCAAGAACCCCCAAATCAGGTGGCCATTTAATCCACTGTCCTAACCTAACACCCATTTGAGGGTGAAGGAGATACTATTAATAATTACACGGAGAAAACAGTCATAAAGTCGGATTCATGGTTCCCCTACATAAAGGGATTGGCAATCTCACCATCAATCTTTAGACTGAAAAGGCGTCCAATCACTGACACCCTAACATTATCACATGTGGTGCTATAGAACTACTAACTGCAAGTTCAGCGATTCAATCCCACCAGCCAATTCTCAGAAACCCTACACAGAGCCCTGATGAGTCAGAATAGACTCGAAGCATTTAATAGCAACAAAGTTTATTATAGGGAAAGAATTGCTGCCATATATGTTCTCCATAAAATAACTGTCTATCAATAACTGTTCACTTGACATCAAATTAAGTTTCTTGAATCCTTCACCAATTTTCACTCAATTTAAGAAATAACACATTTTATTTTTCATTGCTTAAAACCATGATGTATTCTTGCTTTCCTACCTCATTGTGGCCCCTTTCCTACTAAGTGGTCCTTTTCTCTTGCAGGTTTTTTTTCACTTAATAGACCTTTTAGGATCACTCTGAATGTTAGAATAAAAGAGACCATCACATTTGTTTAATTTAACTTTGTAATGAAGAAAACTGACAGCCACAGAGAATTAGAAATCTCCTCAAAGGTATCATAGTGAGTGATTTAAAGGCAAAAGTGGGATTTATAGGATCTTGATTTGGGGAAATCCATTTTATAATACTATAGAGGAAATACAATAGTGGATTGAAAGAACTAATAAGACAAAACAAAAAAAAAAAACCACTTAGGTATTCAAGGGTTAGGGATTCGGCTGCTAACTCCAAGTTTGGTAGTTCAAACCCATCAACCACTGCCCAGGAAAAAGATGAAGGTGTTTGCACCCATAAAGATTTGTAATCTCAGAAATCTCCTCACTGGGAGTCAGAATTAACTCAGTGGCAGTTAGTTTGGTTTGGTTTTGATAAGTATCCAACAAAGAGAAAAGTCCCAGCCAGTAAGCTCACTTTATATTTTCATAACTCTGTTTTGTAAGATTCTGCTATGCACTGGGGCAAATGAAGATAAAGTAATGCACTTATGAAGCTTACAGTCTAGTTGTTATTGTTGGTATTAAGTACTGTGGAGGCAGTTCTGACTCACAGCAATGCTGTCTAGAGTTTCTGAGGAGCAGTTGGTGAGTTTCAAACCAACCTTGAAATCAAGTGCTTATCCTATGGCACCACACCAGGACTCCTACAGTCTAGTGGGAATGTCCCAACCCAGAAGGTTCTGGGTGGGGCTTAGTATTATCCCTACAGTGGCCATTTTTATTCCCCACAGTTTAGTTGTACTTGTTGTTGTTGTTAAGTACTACCAAGTTGATTCTGACTCATAGCAGCACTGTACAGGGTTTCCAAGGAGCAGTTAGTGGGTTTGAACTGCTCACCTTGTAGTTCACAGTTCAGTGCTTATCCTACAGTGCCACACTAGTGAGGGATTAAAAATGGCCAACCTTAGGTGGAATCCTGAGCCCCACCCAGGACCTTCTGAGCTGGGACATTCCCACTTGAAAAGACATGCAGACCAACCCAGGACTGCTGAGAGAACAAAGGATTCTTACTGAAAGAAAGACCTGTAAGAAAAAAATCAAGCCATTTGGCTGTTTAAATTTCAAGCAAGCTATTTGTTTTATAGGCATCAAGGCAAGAAAAGCCAGCCCATCAGAGAAAAACCCCTTCTAGGACTGAAACTTAAAGGGAACCTAAGAGCAGTCTAGTATGTTCACCAGTGATCAACTGGGTCTACTTGTGAGTGGAAGTAGGAGAAACGTAGCAATGAAGACATGGACTGAGTTTGACTATGTTCAATTGACAGCAGTTGATTCTGAGATTAGTGATAGAAAAGGAAGGGCTGGCTGGTCTGAAGTTTAGGAAGATGTGTGAACTCCATGATCAATGACCTAACCCCTGGAGGCTAGGGCTGAGAATGAAGTGGCCAGCTGGTCTGAAGTGCAGGGAGGTTGCGTGAACTACCAAACTTGCAGCTAGTGCCCATTTATCTTAGCTTGGATGGCTAGTTGACCAAAACTCAAGCCAGGAAGATAATGATGTTTGATACTGTGAGTACGTGGAAATTGCTACAATTCGATGAACTAGACTTTAGCTTATGAGTGCAGTGACTCAAAATTCCAACTGGAATGAAAGCATTCATCTTATCAAGGAACAACCTTGTTTTTTCAGTATACTGGGTTGGTTGATAGGGGTGAGAAATCTAGACATTGGCTATCAAAAATGGGCAAAGGGCTGTAAAGTCATGATGTGGCTGGCTTACAAACTTTCATGTGTGTGGTTTCTTTCAGAATGAGGATTATAAATTAGAATCTCCACTGAATAATTTCCATCTTTTCCAGATGGATCTGGTGAAAAGCGATAGGAGATGACAGTGATACAATTTATGACTCAATTGTCAGTAATTGTTAGCAGGATTAATAGTGATGGTCATATTGTAATTGTAAAAGATGTGTAACTAAAAGGGGGGGATAGTTAATCTTTCATTTCAGGAACAGATGATCCCACCCCCATAAAGAAGGAAGAGTATGAGTGAAATGTGTGGTCCCTACCTATTAGTGACAGCAGAGACAGTGGCAGAGGTGGTGGCATGGAGAGACAGCAGTTAACAGGCTCTAGACCATGGATTGGGAAAAACTATGTCTTCAGGCAGGAAGCTGGTTGGCAGAATGTGCCCTTTAGACATTTAAATGAATATATATGTTTTGTTTTGTATGTGTATATCAAATATTTCTCTTT